CGCCGCCCCCAGCGCTCACCTGCCCCTCCCCAGGTGCGGCTCTTCCTCATCCTCAGCACCTCGGGCATCTCCATCCACACCACGGACCTGGAGGTGCAGCTGGAGCTGTCCACGTGAGCCGGGCGGGGGGCTGGGACCCCCAGGAGCCCCCTGCCCCCGCCGCCCCCAGCGCTCACCTGCCCCTCCCCAGGTGCGGCTCTTCCTCATCCTCAGCACCTCGGGCATCTCCATCCACACCACGGACCTGGAGGTGCAGCTGGAGCTGTCCACGTGAGCCGGGCGGGGGGCTGGGACCCCCAGGAGTGGGGATGGAGACCCCCGGGGTGGGGATGGAGACCCCCAGGATTTGGGGATGGAGACCCCCAGGATTTGGGGATGGAGACCTCCGGGGTGGGGGATGGAGACCCCCGGGGTTTGGGAGATAGAGACCCCCGGGGTGGGGATGGAGACCCCCGGGATTTGGGGGCCAGAACCGGGGGATGTTGAGGGTGAGAGCCGCGGGGAATTTGGGGTTTGGAGCCCCCAGGATTTGGGGCCAGAGCCCCGGGGGGTTTGGGGATGGTGACCCCCAGGATTTGGGGTAAATCCCTGGGGAATTTGGGGATCTGACCCCCAGGATCTGAGGTAAATCCCTCAGATTCCCTGGGGAATTTGGGGATCAGACCCCCCCCAGACTTTGGGGTTTGGAGCCCCCAGGATTTGGGGGCTGGAATCCCAGGGGATTTGGGGTCCAAAGCCCCCAAGATCTGAGGTGAAACCCTGGGGAATTTGGGGGTCAGACCCCCCAGACTTTAGGGTCCAGAGACCCCAGAATTTGGGGTCTGGGATCCCAGGGGATTTGGGGTCAAAGCCCCCAGGATTTGGAGACAAAATCCCGGCAGTTTCAGAGTCCGACCCCCCAACATTTAGGGTCGGGGGGCTGCATTTGGGGCTCACCCCACCCCCCGCACCCCCTCGGGGTTTTTCTTTTGGGGTTTCACCCCCCCGACCCCAAACCCCCAGGACCAGCGAGCAGCCGGGGCTGGAGCCGGTGGTCGCCCGCGCCCGCGTGGTCATCGAGCTGCCCCTGGCCGTGACCGGGTGAGTGGGGAGGGGGCTTTGGGGTCGGGACCCCCCCCCCGGGGATCCCCCCTCACAGCAGGGCTGTCCCCGCAGCGTGGCCGTGCCCCCCCGGCTGTTTTTTGGGGGGCAGGTGCTGGGGGAGAGCGCGGTGAAGAGGGAGAGCCAGGTGGGCAGCGCCGTCCGCTTCGAGGTCACGGTGAGAGACCCCCCAAAAGGAGACCCTCCCCCAAAAGAGAGACCCCCCCCAAAACAGACACCCCTCCAAAACAGAGATCCCCCAAACGGACCCCAAAACAGAGACACCAAAACAGAGACACCAAAAACAGAGACCTCAAAAACAGAGACCCCCCCAAAAGAGAGACCCCCCCCAAAACAGACACCCCCCAAAACAGAGATCCCCCAAACGGGCCCCAAAACAGAGACCCCAAAACAGAGACACCCCAAAACGGACCCCAAAACAGAGACCCCAAAAACAGAGGCCCAGAAACGAGACCCCCCAAAACAGACCCCAAAAACAGAGACACCCCCAAAATGAGATCCCCAAAGCAGACACCCTCCAAAAACAGAGACCCCTCCCCCGGGAACCCAAAACCAAAATGGGGTCAAGGTTCCGTACAGGGTTGTTTTTGGGGTTGGGGCTGTTTTTTGGGGTGAGGGATTGCATACAGGGGTTATTTTTATGGTCAGGGCTGGTTTTGGGGTCGGGGCTATTTCTGAGTTCTGGGTTGTTTTTGGGGTCGGGGCTGTTTTGAGTGTTGGGGCTGTTTTTGGGGTCAGGGCTATTTCTGGGGTCAGGTGCTGGTTTTGGGGTCGGGGTTATTTTTGGGGTCAGGGTTGTTTTTGGGGTCAGGGCTATTTCTGGTGTCGGGGTTATTTTTGGGGTCGGGGGCTATTTCTGGGGCCGGGGTTATTTTTGGGGTCGGGGGTATTTTTG